CATGCAATATACTGAAAATCTAACTCACCTTCCCCTCAAAACTGCTTCTCCTGCAGACTTCCCAGTTTCTGCCAATGGCAGCCCCACCCTCCTGGTCACCAAGGCTCAAGCCCTCAGTCAGCCTGGACCTCTCCCTCCCTCTCAATATGGTCAAACATCAAATCCAGCCCATCTTCTTGGACAGCTCTCAGATTTAGTCCCCTCCTCTAGCCTCTACTCTAACTTAACGACTTTATTCAATTCAACAAGCATTTACTGAGAGGCTGTCACATTACCGGACCCGTGCTGGGCACAAGGGGACACAGAGACAAAAGCGACAGTTCCTGCCCTCAAGAAGCTTATACTCTACTAGAGAGAAAGAGCACGTACATAGCCAAATCAAGCCTATAAGGTGGACTGGAGTGGGGACACTAACACACTAACACGGATGTGGGCCCCAGAGCTCAGCCTAAAAGGGAGGCTGAGCTGGAGAGCTGCAGACAGCAAACCTCAGGTAAGCCAGGCCATCAGAATGTAGGCTGGGAGGAGCAGTGATTTATGAAGTGCTTCAATCCGAATGAGGCACTCTGCTGCAGGCCAGAGTTAGAGAACTCAACAAACAAAAAAGCAGGCTTCCTTCAGACCCTACGTCTACAATCTGTCTCTTCCTGGGACTACTCCAAGCATTCCTGGCCTTCTACTTCCACCTCTTTCTCATGAACAACTGCCCGAATCATCTTTCTAATGCACAGTTCTGACCACATCTCTCTTCTGGCTCCCAAGCGTACCATGGCTCTGAACTAACTCCAAGAAAAACTTCAAACTCTTTAGCATTCCAGGCCCTCCATCAGCACGCTGCCCTCTTCCTTCCCAGGCTTAGTCACTTCAGTCTCTTTCACACACTATGTTCCAATCAAACCAGACTATCTGTTGTCCCTTAGGATACCACAGGATACCACTCACTCCTCATCCCTACCAGCTGAAATCCTACCCATTCTATCTATCAGGACCAGATCATAAACTGTACAACAAAGCAGTAATCATTCAATTTGCGACTGGATGAAAAATAGAAAAGGCAATTATTGGAAGAGACATGGTACACTACATAAAACCAACACAGCACCATAGTGTTTGATAAATCCAAAGATCTCTGTTACTGGGAAAAGGACTCATTATTACACAAAAACTTCTAGGAAAGCTGGATGGCAGTCTGGCAAAAATGAGGCTTAGACCTGGAAAGATTTATATGAACTGATGCTGAGTGAATTGAGCAGAACCAGGAGAACATTGTACACAGTAACAGCATCATTGTGTGATAACTAACTTTGACAGACTTAGCTCTTCTCAGTAATGCAAAGTTCTAAGACAAAAGACTCACAATGGTAAATGCTATCCACATCCAGAAAAAGAACCTTGGAGTCTGAATGCAGATGGAAGCATACTATTTGCTCTCCTTTTCTTTTGTTGTTTTATTTCTTCTTTCCTTCCATCAATTGTGATTCTTCTATACATCATGACTAATGTGAAAATATGCTTAATATGAATGTATAAGTAGAGCCTGTATCAGATTACACGCTGTCTTGGGGAGGGGGAAGAAGATGGAGTAGGAGAAAATTTAAAACTCAAAATCTTATGAAAGTGAAAGTTGAAGGGGGCAGCTAGGTGGTGCAGTGGATAGAGCACTGGCCCTGAAGTCAGGAGGACCCGAGTTCAAATCCAGCCTCAGACCAAACACTTGACACTTACTAGCTGTGTGACCCCGAGCAAGTCACTTAACCCCAATTGCCTTTTAAAAAAAAAGTGAAAGTTGAAAACTAAAAATAAGTAAATTAATTTTTAAATATTAGGTTTAGACCAAAACCTTATGCCATACACCAAGTTAAAATCCAAACGAATAAAGGATCTGGTTACGTCATAAAGAAATCAGAGGAGCAAGGAAGAAATTACCTTTTGAATCAATGAACAGGAGGAGAGTTCACGGCCAAACAAGCATTAGAGAGGATCACATAAAATGAACTTTGGCTATATAAAATTTAAAAGTTTTTGCACAAACAAATCAAGTGTAATTAAAATTAGAAGGGAAACAGGTAAATGGGAAAATTCTTGGCAGCAAGTTTCTCTGATGAAAGCCTCATGGTCAAGGCGTATATGGAACTAATTCAAATTTATAAGACAAAGTGCCATTACCTAATGGCCAAAGGACATGAATAAGGAATTTTCAAAGAAAGAAATCCAAGTTATCAACAACCATAAGGAAAAGAAGTGTTACAAATCACTAATAACTATAAAATGCAAATTAAAACACCTCTGAAATTCCACCTCGCACTCATCCAACTGGCAAAGATAACAAGAGGAAAATAACAAATGCTGGATCAGGTTTAGGAAAACAGGAACAATTCACTGTTGGAGGAGCCAACAAGTGCTCTGGCCGTTCAGGAAAGCAATTTGGAATGATGCTCCCAAGCCTACTAAACTGCAGATATCCTTCGACTCAGTGATACCAACTATGGGGCCTATGCTGTAAAGAGATCAAGCAAGGAGAAAAAGGTCCCACAGGCACAAAAAGATTTAAAGCAGTTTGTTTTGTGGTAGCCAAGAATCTTGAACTAAAGAGTTGTCCTCCTATTGTGCAATGGCTAAACAAATGATGGTGTATGGATGGAATGAGAGAGTACTGGGCTGTAAGAAATGACAAAATGGACAATTTCAGAAGAAACTGGAAAGACCTCTATGAACTGCTGCAGAGCAAAGTGAGCAGAATTAGGAGTGCAATTTATGCAATGACAAAAATGTTATTTAAAAAAAGCCCCAAACTTTGAATGACGATAGAAATCTGAACAACGTAATGATAAATCACGAGTCCAGAAGACTGAAAATGAAACTCTCGCCTCCTGCCAGAGAGGTTAATGAACTTAAAATGCCAAGAGACAGAGATCTTCAGGCATGGCCAATGTGGGGATTTACTGGACCACGTATGGTTAGGACAAGGCTTTTCTCTTTCCTTCTTTTCTTCCTTTCTCTTTCTTTCTGTTCAATGGAGAGGGGGAAATGGGAGGACAGATTATAAAATAATTTTATAGATTAACAGGGTAAATAAATCCTCCTCCAATGCCTCAAGACCCAGTTAAATGCCACCTCCTCCATAAAGTCTTGTCCAGGGGCAGCTAGGTGGCACAGTGGATAGAGCTCTGGCCTTGAAGTCAGGAGGACCTGAGTTCAAATCCGGTCTCAGACACACAACACACAACACATACTAGCTGTGTGATCCTGGGCAAGTCACTTAACCCAACTGCCTAGCAAAAAAGCAAAAAAAAAAAATCTTGTCCAGTTTCTCTAGCTAGAAGTAAGGTCTCCTTTCTCTGAACTCTCAGAGGACTCTGTACATCTCAGGGCACTGTTCTGCCTGGTTTCATAGGTACAGATGTTTTGTGTTATATCCCAAGCTACCAGACTGTGAGGTCTTTGGGTGGCAGGGTGGGTAAGAGACCATGTCTTATTCATCTTTGTTTCCACCACAGTGTCCACTTAGCAATGGAGAGAATGGAGTTCTAGTTAAAGTTTTACTACTTACTAGTCATATGATTTTGACTAAATCAGGGAGTTGCAGAATCACAGGATTAGAAAAAAATTCAAAGGTCAACGAATCCCCAAGTGGTCATTTAGCACTTGAAGATCTCCAGTTCAAGGGACCTCACTCTCTCCTGAGGCGGCCCATCCCACTTCTGGACAGCTCCAAATGGTAAGAAGTTGTGTGTTTGTTTTTTTCCGTTAAGCTTAACCATAATCTATATCTACAATACCTTCCCACAATGCTCTGAGTTCTGCTCTCGTCAGTAAAACAAAAAATGTCTAATCGTGCTTCTATACAACAGTCCTTCAAATACCAGTACAGAATACAACTATCACTTCCTTTCCCTGGAGCCCACATCTCTACTAGTGCCACTTGTGACTGCTGCAGCTCTTTTGAGGGCTAAGTCCCTCTACCCCATCTGGGCCTCAGTTTCCGCATCTACAAATTAAAGATAAGAATCCCTACCTATCTCAAAGGGCTGTTGTAAGAATCCAGTGAGATAATGTGAATTAAGGGGCTTTGTAAGTCACAAAGCATTGGACAGATGTCAGGCACTGGGACAGTTGGGAGGAGGAGCAGAAATAGACCCCTTACCATGTTTGCCGAAGGAATGGCAGGATGATGGAGGGGAAGTGAGGGAGGGGAGACACCCTGCCCACGGAAGTCAGTTACTACCAGTTCAGAGATCCTCAGGGGCAAAAAAGGAAGTTGTACTGAGACAAGAATGTCCATCCCAGGTGAAAACCTTGTTTCCACCCGTTTGCACAGCTCAGCAGTGCTTCAAGGCTGCACTATGGAAAGGTCCCTAGGACTGGAGGAATGAAGTCAGAGTAAAGACCAGTGTCAGGCAGCTGAGTGAAATTCTCCAGCCTCCTCTACTTGAGAGGGTCAGAGGTGAAGGTCAGGTGTGTATGAGTGTTTATGTATCTTGTGGCAGGCAGGAAAGGAAGTACCCTGCACCTCACCTTCCTTTCCTCTTCTAGACGAAGTCGCTCATCCTCTTTCTTCCGCTCCTCCTCCCGCTTGGATTCCAGTCGACGCCGCTCCTCTCGCTCAGCTTCTTCTGCCTAAAGAGAGAAAATACTGTGAGCTCCAGTTTCGAATGCTCAGCCTACCACAACTAGCCCCTCATCATCCCCACCAGCACAGGGCGGGACGCAGGGCCCATCCTCCAGCTGACACACAACCCTGTGTATTTTATATGCAACCACAGGGAGAGGGAAAGGAGGGAAGAGTCAGGGTCAGGAAGAGAATGCCAACAGTGAGACACAAATCTGTCCAGCTCTCCCTGGGTGTGGCCTGCCTTCCTCCCACAGCCCCAGCCTGTTCACCTCTCGCTGGGCTTTCCTGGCCTGCTTCTCCTCCAGCTTCCTCTGTTTCTTGGCTCCAATTTTTCCCAATGGTTGAATTTCTGCAGGTTCATCACCACTTTCTTCTTCCTGGGCTAGATGTGGTCAGAGGAAGACATTGGAGAACACAGCAAATCACAGACCCTGGGCCCTGCTTTCAAGGAGCCCACTCAGCAACAGAGTCTATCATACAGGCAGACACAGACATACGAATGTCCAAGGTGGAGACATCAACTCAGAAGGTGGCTAGAATGATAAGGAATGATGGACAAGCTTCCTGTGGTATGCACAGGGGCCAAAAGGAAGAAGCCCCACACGTGGGCTGGGCAGGAACTAAACAGGCTCTTAAGTTTCAGCCCAGTCTTCTGTCACTTTCTTGGGAAAGGACACTTTCTCGGGAAAGGACACTTTCTCATTCTGGGTCCAAGCCCCCATCAATGTAACCTGTGGCTGCTTACGCATTTTGAGGGCTTATTCATTTTACCCACTGGGCCTCAGTTTCCTCATATGCAAATTAAGGATAAAAAGTCCTACCCATCTCTAGTATAAGGTCTAGTATAAGGATCCCGGAGATCATGTGGAATAAAGGACTTAGTCAAATGTCAGGTGTGTTTTTGACCAATCAACAAGTTTTTACTGAAAATCTAGATAAGGCAGATGATTGAGTGGAAAGAACGCCTGATTTGCAGGGATTCAAGTCCCAGCTCTGCTACTTTCTACCTGTGTGACCTTGGGTAAATCCTTTACCTCTCTGTGCCTGTCTATAAAGTGAAGCAGTTTGATTAGATAATCTCTCAGATTCCCTCCTGCTCTAAATCCCATGATCCTCCAGGTCTGACCCAGTGCCTAGAACCATGGTGGGGATACTAGGAAAAGAACAGACATTGTCTGTTTCTGTCCTCCACATATAACACCAATCTCCTACCTCCTTGCCTTTGCATCTTCAATGCCTGGAATGCCCTCCCTCCTTGCCTCCACTTCACAGAATCCCTCTCTTCTTTCAAGACCCAGCTTAAGCACCACTTTTTGAACTAAGCCTTTCCTGAGTCCCACAGCTGGCAGTGCTCTCTCTAACTGCCTTGTAATTCAGTATAACTTATATATGGACATGTTGTCTTTTATTATTTCTTTTGTATTTGTATCCCCAGGGCTAGCACAGTGACTAGAACACAGCAGGTGCTTAATAAATGCTTTTGATTGATTACTTCCTAGTTAGTAAAAGATCACTTAGGATGAAAAGCAGAGTGCTAAATGCCAAATGAGTTTTGTGGGATATAGGAATTCACAAGGAGGAGAGAGCAGTATTGGCTAGGATATTCCTTTCTTTCTATGACTCTCAGTTTCCCCAGCTGTAAAATGAAAGATTCCAATTCAAGAATTGTCAAGGCCTCTCCCAGCTTTGACATTCTATATCCGCGGCAGGCTGGGGACCAGCATGCACAAAAGCCAGGTATGGGTGGTGGGAGAACCATGAGTCAAGCCTGTCCACGGAGGGCTGTCAACTTGAGGAAGAAGGGAGAAGGGCAAAAGATAAGGTGGGGCCAGCTTAGGAAGGGCTCTGAATGCCAGGCTGAGGAGCTGGCCTTGAGGTGTTAGGCACTGACCATCGTGATGTAAGGGTGTTTTAGGAAGATGGATCCGGCAACACGTAGAGGGTAGATGGCTGAATGGGAGACTAGAGGATATGGTGGTGCCCTCTGTTACTCAGGCAAGAGGCAATGAATGCCTGCATCAAAACGAGAGCCACAGGAAGCAGAACTAGAGATCTCTGAGGAAGCCTTAAGGGGATCAAAGATTGAACTGGTCACCACATCCCCTCACCTGAACTATCATTAATATCATTCCAAAGCATCTTTCTGTCTCTACTCTTACCTTCAGCAATACAGGCTTCACATGTATGCCCAAGTAATCCTTCTAAGGGGCAGCAAGGTGGCACAGCGGATAGGGCACCAGGTCTGGAGTAGGGAAGATCTAAGGTGAGATCTGGTTTCAAATGCTTACTAGCTGTGTAACCCTGGACAAGTCACAACCCCTATTTGTCTTGGTTCCTCATCTGTAAAATGGGGACACACTGGAGAAGGAAATGGCAACCCACTCTAGTGCTTTTGCCAAAAAAACCCAAAAAACCAACAAAAATCTTCAGTGGCTCCCCATTGTCTCCCAAGTGGTGCCAATCTAGCACCCAGGCTTATCTCCCACTACTCCTTTTCCTGGACTGCTATTCCTCCAGTTCTTGTCCTGGCCTGTCCTACCTCGCTAACAGCTGCTCCATGATTCTGGGTCTTGGCCTGGCCACCCAGCCCCCATCAGCCACCTCTGGGGAGGAAGGGATATAAAAGTCAATAGATGATTGAAAGATTCCCAAACCTCTTCTGGGTTAACTCACTCTCTCTCTGCTTCCCAGCTCCTTCTCCTCCTGCCCCTGACAGAGGTCTACCTCCTGAGTTCTAGGCCCCATCTCTTGACCCCGGTTAGCCGTCACCTGAAACACCCGAACAGCCTAAAGAAGCTGTTTTGCTCCAATCTGACCAGCCTTCCATGAAAAGGCTGCAAGGTCCCAACCTAACACCCAGAGCCCTTTTCCGGAGCCCTAGGGGGGAAGGGGGCACTGAGGGTCTACAGAGCAGAGGGTTCTGGAGGGATGTGGCTAAGGAGGCGGTACCATTGGTGAACAGTTTCTTTTCTCGGCTCAGAGCTGCACCAAAGGTGGGGAGTCTGGCAACCGGCCCCGCCGCAATCCGGCATCCCTCTCGTGACACTGTTCCCCTGCTCAGAACCTTGATCACACCGACAGCTCTGGGTCCCGAGCCACCCCTTCCCATCCTGGCCTCCCACTGCTCCCTATATATTACTCCCCTACTCCCTTAGCTAGCAGTTTCTATTCCAGGTGGGTCATTCTGCTCCCCTCTCCAGGTGACCCCCAATCAGCCAATCTCCCTCTGAGCCTCTCTCCTCCAGGAAGCCTTCGTGTGACAGACCTCATCCAGGGGTGGGTCCCTTCTGGCCTCAGAGATGGGCTCCACAGTGAGTCAGTCAACAAACATTCACTGAGAATCTCCTGTACGCCAGGCACCGTGCTTAGCGCGGGATGAAAAGAAAGAGACAAGAGGCGGAGCACTGGTACGCCCATCACCTTCCATCACTTCCTCGTCCTCTTCCTCGGCCCGCCGGGCCCGGCGCTGGGCCTGCAGCCTGCTCCCCATGTCTCGCCGGCGCCGGGCCCTCCCTTCGGCCCTCTCGTTTTCAGGTCTGAGAAGCTGGGGCCTTGGCCCTCCGACAGCCGCCGCCTCCACATTGCGCTGATGCTCCTGACCTGCTGTGGAAAGGAGAGGAGAGGAGGCCTAGTGGTTAGGGATCTCAGTACACCCTCGCTGATCCCAGCACCGCTACAGCAGCTTCCCTGCCTTCAGCTCAAGGGGAAGTCCAGCCCACGGAAGGGCCCCCTCCCCACCCGCCCACACACATCTGGGATCTCTACTCTCACAACATCTCAACACCTCCAGCCCCTAAAGGCCCAACAGCTCCTCAGCAGCTGCAGGATCGACTCCGGACTCCTGATTCTGCCATTCAGGGCCAATCTTGATCTGGAGCCACTCTTCCTTTGGGGCCTCAGCTCCCGGCTCCCCTCTGCCAGGACCATCTCCTCCTGTTACCCCAGCATACATTTCCCCACACTGATCCCCTCACACCAGGAATGGCACTCCTTTCTTGCCAACGATTTTTCACAAAGGTCGACGTGATGCCCTCTCTCCTCCAATATTCTCACCCTACCGATCCAGCTCCACATGGGTTTCTCCCTGCTGTGAGCTCCTAGGGTACCTCTGTTCTGAGCTACCAAGTCAAGGAATATGGCCTCTGGTTGTTTTCTTGGCATTTTTTTTGTTTTATTTTTGTTTTTGTTTTTGCTAGGCAATGGGGTTAAGTGATTGCCCAGGGTCACACAGTCAAGTCTCTGAGGCCAGATTTGAACTCAAGTCCTCCTGACTCCAGGGCCGGTGCTCTATCCACTGCACCACCTAGCTGCCCCTTCTTGGCATTTTAGATGCATGAGAATCATCCCGCTCGAGCAATAAGTCTCCACTGGCCCCTGGCATCACCTGGAGGAGATGTGAGATCAACCAAATGGAAAGCAGAAACACAGATGGGCCTGCGTCCCATCCTCCCAGAGACAGCCCACATTTAGGGTTGATCTCCAAGACAGCCACCCTCACCCCTTCCTCACTACAGCCCCATACTGTACCACTCCATCCCAATCTGGGGCTGTGTGAGCTCCACAAGGTATGGGCTGCCCCCTAGGGCAGGCTCTCACTGTCTCCATGGGAGACCACTGAACCATGGAAACAGCCTCCTCTCCTTTCCAATCCACCTTTCCCACAACTGCTCAGGTCTGCCCACGTCACTCCCTGACTCAAACTCCAGGGTTCTCTAGTACCTCTGGGAACAAACAGCAACTCCTGGGTTGGCATTTCAAGTCTTTCACAAGCGGCTCCTTTCCACCCGCCTGTCCCCCCTTTACATTACGCCCTTTCTTGCTACTCCTCACGATCACACAAATCCAACTCAAATATCCAAACATTAATGGGAAATTAAGACACAGTACTATCGATTACCCTGAGCCACATAAAGAAAGAGGAATGGAAGGATTTATCCTGACAACTTTCTGCTGAGTTGAAATCAGAGACAATTCATTTTTGTCTTTACTAAGCATGGTAATTCTATGCCCTGAGAAACTTGAGTCCTGCTCAAAAGTTATACCCTATTGTTTGACTACCATATTGTATATCTTTCTTTTTTTTTTGGAATCTTATTTTTTATTTGGATTCTGCAAGACATATTCCACAGACATTGGCAAGTTCCTCAGGTGGGCATGTAGGTCTGTGATGACTTCATGAGGCGTCAGTATGCAAGCAGATGGTTGAACAAAGTTATCTCCACACCCAAATCTGTCATAGTCTTGTATAATTTTTTAAATTTTTTTTAATATAAATTTATTTATTTTTAGCTTTCAACATTCACTCCCACAAGTTTTTGAATTCCAAATTTATACCCCATCTCCCCCTCCCCCACCCCAAGATGGCATGCATTCTGAATATCCCTTCCCCTAGTCTGTCCTCTCTTCTATCTCTCTCCCCTTCTCTCATCCCCTTCCCCTTCTATTTTCCTGTAGGGCAGGATAGACTTCTGCACCCCATTTCCTGTATTTCTTATTTCCCAGTAGCATGTGAAAACATTTTTTAAAACATATGTTTTTAAAACTTAGGTTTCAAATTTTCTCTCTTCCTCCCTCCCCACACATCCTCATTGAAAAGGCAAGCAACTCAATATAGGTTGTACGTGTGCAGTTATGGAAAACACTTCCATAGTAGACATGTTGTGAAAAACTAACTCTATTTCCCTTAATCCTATCCTGCCCTCCCATTTATTCTATTCTTTCTTTTGACCCTGTCCCTCCTCAGAAGTATTTACTTCTGATTACTCCCTTTCCCAATCTGCCCTCCTCTCTATCATCCCCCTGCTCTCTTGTCCCCTTCTCCCCCTATTTTCCTGTAGACTAAGACAGATTTCCATACCCAATTGAATGTTTGTTATTCCCTCCTTAAGCCAAATCCTATGAGAATAAGATTCACTCATTCCCTCTCACCTTCCTCCATTTCCCCTCTACTGTAAGAGACTTTTCTTTGTTTTTTTTTTGTGAGATAATTTACCCCATTCTACCTCTCCCTTTCTTCTTCTCCAAGTATAATCCTCTCTCATCCCTTAATTTTATTCTCCAGATATGACCCCTTAATCTTCAACTCACCCTGTGCCCTCTATCTATCTATCTACATATACATACATATAATTTTTTTCCTCCAACTACCCTAATACTGACAAAGTCTCATGAGTTATAAATATCATCTTTCCATGCAGGAATGTAAACAGTTCAATCTTAATAAGTCTCTTATGATTTCTCTTTCCTGTTTACCTCTTCATGTTCCACTTGAGTCCTGTATTTGAAAGTCAAATTTTCTATTCAGCTCTGGTCTTTTCATCAAGAATGCTTGAAAGTCCTCTATTTCACTGAATGACCATTTTTTCCCCTGAAGGATTATACTCAGTTTTGCTGGGTAGGTGATTCTTGGTTGTAATCCTATCTCCTTTGCCCTCTGGAATATTATATTCCATGCCCTGGTCCTTTAATGTAGAAGCTGCTAAATCTTGTGTTATCCTGATTGTGTTTCCACAGTACTTGAATTGTTTCCTTCTGGCAGCTTGTAATATTTTCTCCTTGACCTGGGAACTCTGGAATTTGGCTATATATTCCTAGGAGTTTTCCTTTGGGGATCTCTTTCAGGAGGAGATCTGTGGATTCTTTCAATTTCTATTTTGCCCTCTGGTTCTAAATATCAGGGCAGTTTTCCTTGATAATTTCTTGAAAGATGATGTCTAGGCTCTTTTTTTGATCATGGCTTTCAGATAGCCCAATAATTTTTAAATTCTCTCTCCTGGATCTATTTTCCAGGTCAGTTGTTTTTCCAATGAGATATTTCACATTGTTTTCTAATTTTTCATTCTTTTGGATTTGTTCTACTGTGTCATGATTTCTCATAAAGTCACTATCTTCCAATTGCTCTATTCTAATTTTTAAGGAAGTATTTTCTTCAGTAAGCTTTTGGACTTCCTTTTCCATTTGGCCAATTTCACTTTTTAGGGCATTTTCTTCTCCTCATTGGCTTTTTGGACCTCTTTTGCCATTTGGGTTAGGCTATTTTTTAAGGTGTTATTTTCTTCAGTATTTTTTGGGTCTCCTTTAGCAAGCTGTTGACTTGTTTTTCGTGATTTTCTTGCATCACTCTCAGTTTTTCCTCTACTTCCCTTACTTGCTTCTCAAAATCCCTTTTGAGCTCTTCCAAGGCCTGGGACTGATTCATATTTTTCTTGGAGGCTTTGGATGTAGGAGCTTTGACTTTGTTGTCTTCTTCTGGTTGTATATTTTGATCTTCTTTTTCACCAAAGTAAGATACTATAGTCTGACTCTTTTTGCGCTGCTTGCTCATGATCCCAGCCAATTACCTGAGTTTTAAACTCTTTGTTAAGGTAAGAGTCTGCTTCCAATGTGGAGAGTGTACTGTCCCAAGCTTCAGGGGTTTGTACAGCTGTTTTCAGAGATACTTGTAGGGACCTGTAAATTTTCAGTTCTACCAAGGTGGTATGATAAGGGGCGAGGGGTTTACTCCTTTCCTGGCCTGTGAGCACAAGTATTCCTTTCTGTCCTGTAACTGTGAGGAAGGGTTCCTCTCCACGCCACTCCAAGCTCTACCACGCCAGCGTTCCTCCTCACCCCAGCACTGCCGCCCAGAACTGTGACCCAGATCCAAACAGGGGCAAAGCAAGAGATTCCTGCCTCAGCACTGGCAAAGAGATCCCTGCAGTCCCTCTCTGATCAGCCACTGCATTCCCCCTCAGTCTGTGGGCCAGAAGCTCGGGAAGCAGCTGCTCTCCCCCCAGGGCCACGCTCTTGGGGAATGGAGCTGAAACCCCACCTTCCTGTCTCAGTACCAACAGAAACAGACTTTTCCCACTGACCTTCTAAGCTGTCTTTGGCATTGTGGATTGAGGAGCCTGGAAACCTCCACAGCTGCCCACGATTCAGTCCTCTGAGGCCTGCTCCAGGTTCGCTGCAGCCTACGCGCCCACGCTGTGCTCCCAGCCCAGCGCGATACACCTTTCTGATCAATCATCCAGGTTGTCTTGGGCTGGAAATTTGTTTCACTCTGTCTTTTTGTGGGTTCTGATGCTTCAGAATTTGTTTAGAGCCATTTTTTATGAGTATCTGGTGGGGGTTTGGAGGAGAGCTCAAGGAAGTCCTTTCACTCTGCCATCTTGGCTCCGCCCCCTTGTATATCTTTCAATAAGAAAATATTATTTAAAAAAAAAGCAATTCACTTGCTAGCAATATTGATCAAGTTTGGGGAACAATAAATTGCTAACAAACAATTGTCATAGGCCGGCTCTGCCCAATCTCCAAGGTATTCACAGGAGTGTTTCAAAAATGAAGACATGTATTCACATTGCTCTCAAGAGTAAAAAGATTTTTTTGTATTGTTAATAAAGTAAATAAAAACTGTTGATTTTATCTTTATCTCA